GGGGCACGGTGGTTGATGCCTCAGTTGCAACTATTCGCCAGGTGTTGCGGCTGCCTGAATTTACTGGTGACACCGACTATTACCAGGCCGCACCAGGAGTCACTTGGGAGACTATGATTGATGTACTCTGCACAGGGGGGCAACCCACCTGGATACGTGACCATATCACCCTGAACTCCAATTCTTTCACCCATTTGGCTAAGTGTTGGCTCACTGTTATCTGCAACAGGTTCTTGCCCTCAGGAAATACGACTGACGTGAACTTCCAAAGAGCCCTCTTGACATGGTGCTTCGTCACAAAGAAAGATATTGATGCGGCAAAACTAATTGGTGATGAAATGATCATATGGTCCCCGCTGCGGTCAAAGGGATTCTACTTCCCTTCCTTGGTGACTACATTATGCCTGCTGAGGAATGTCCCCACAAATCCTACTGCTGGAGAGTTGCCACAGAAAGCAACTTTCAAAGCTTCGGGCATCAGAGTGGGCAGGGGTGCACGCACCACCATTCAGATCGATGATGAGGATGATGACCCAGTGCCCATGGCACCATCAAGGAGATCCTATGACAGTGTCTGACCCTCTAGGCAGCCCCACGCTGGAACAAGCTTATCCAGATCACAGTCCACCTGCCCTATGCTGCGTACTATGGAGGAAGAGGCCGCGGATCTTCGCACCTCGGTGGAGGGCTTACACACACGTATGGATGTCATGTCGCAACGGCAGTCCAGATCTCAGAGCCGATTTATGGCCTGGTTCCGCGCGTTGGGGAGAGCTTGTCATGTCGACCCCAGCACCGTCTCAGACTCCGATTGATGCTCATGGAAGTCTTCTTACCCTTCTGTTCTTTATTTTTGATATGACATGGGGACATGCCATAATTTTAAGTGTGGGGTGGGAGACTTGCTCTGGTAGTGTATTGTAGTGTATATAGACATTGGGTATGTTGTAATATTAGATTGATGTTGTTGTATATAATTGACTGTACTCATATTAGAAGTAACTGACTTGGCCCAACGACGGACACTTGTCGACAGGTCTCTTGAGGGTCATAGTCGAATCTTAAAAAAAAAAAAATATGTAGAGGACTCTTCCTGAGGACGGACCACTTGGACAGTACTCTTGAGGGAAGTAGTCCATGTAGTTATTTTTTTTTTTTAGGTAGTGTAGTAATTCTCCCTTGGTTTTTCTTTTGACCACGGTTCTTTTCCAAGGGCTTTTCTTGAACCTGGTTAGGTAGATTTTTCTTTTGTAGTTTTAGGACCAAGATGAGTGAAGGCTAGAATACAACCCTAGATGTACACACCTGAGAATAACAAAAACGAACTGAGGGTGCGACGTCTAGGCTCGTTTGTAGACTCATACTTTGATGCCTTAATTTTGCACATCTTGTCTTGCTTGAACGCTCGTATGAGTGTGTTGATAAACTGATTCGGAATGAGTTACATGCCAAGTGTGTGTGAGCTATTACTTGCATTCTGTGCTTGCATGCGATACCTAGAACTTGCCTTGTGTGTTTGCAAAGCGAAATAGAAGTTGTTTGGTTTTAGAGATGATTGAGGCATTTCTTTGTATAGCCTGTATAATTGTGAATCCACCTGACATATTGCCATAGTTAACCCCTTTGAGCCTGAAGCCTGTTCTTTGATAACCCTATAATAACCTACATCCCTGTGTTTGAGTAGTTTGACTGTTTGAACCTGTACCTCCGAGAAGCACTTGAATTATTAAAGAACATACAAAAGTCAAAGTGTGGGGTAGTAGGGGAGTGGAAAAAGGGGAATCAGGAAAGAAATACTTGAATGGTGCAATGGCTGTTGAAGAAAACGAAACAAAACAAAACGAAAAAAAAAGAAAGAAAAGAAAAGAAAAGAGAAAAAGGCCAGTGCACCTAAAGAAAAGTGGGGGGCAAATATGCAACAAAATGTGGAAGAACGATTGGGCTAAACATGGAAGTTGAAACAAAAGGAAGTTTGTATTAAAAGTGCTTAGGGAGGTTAGTCACTATATCCAAATATATCCTACCCGTCCCTTAGCCTACATTACAAACAAATAAAGACCTTTTGATCTTTGACCGAACAGCTCGATTAGTAGAGTATTACACTAGGGGCAAGCTTATGGTGTATCTGTGTGGCATGTGAATGTTCTTTGCTGAGAGTGAGTGAATTCTGTCTATCTATGGTTCCTTGTTGCTTAATTTATTGTGTGTGGAACTTCTCTCATATTTGTGATGTGAGGGCATGTGACTCAAGAAGAAAAAGTGAGTTTTCACCTCTGTTAGAGTAACTAGAGTAAGCACGAGTGTGTCATGGCGTTAGAGTCTGCATCTGAGTGTGACTGTTGCAATGCTTAGGTTATTCGTTCATAATGGCGGGTATAGCATAAACTTGGGGCAATGCATCCAACGGTTAGGCCTAGAAGTGAGGTTTAACTTGCTCGAGGACGAGCAAAGGTTTAAGCGTGGGGTGTTGATAATAGGTGAATTTAACTATAATTAGGCCCTAAAAGAACCACCTTCTTTTATAGTTTTGATGATAAAAGTGATACCAAAATGCTCTGATTAGTGCTTTTCGTGCTTTGCAGGTGATATATGACAAGAGAAGGCTATGGATTACTTTTGGGATCAAATATGGAGAAAAAGAGGCCAATTGTAAAATTTTGCCAAATGAACCAAGCGAAGCAGCTCAAGCCAAGCCTGAAGAAGGACTGCCGCGGTTCCACCGCGACCGCGGCAGAACCGCGATAGAAGATGGTCGCGGATAAGTTGAGATTCAGAGAAGGTGTGTGGCCGCGGTTTGACCGCGATCGCGGCAGAACCGCGGCAGAGGCGGAAGAGTTCAGGGACTTAAGTGCAAAATACGGAATTTTTAGCCCAAAACCCTATTTTAAATACTAGACTTCGCCCAAAGGAGGCAAGAATTGTATTGGAGAATATTTTAGCAAGGAAAATAATTGTGAGAGATCACCCAAAACATCTTTCTTCTTTTCTTGCAAGTTTTATGATGAATATTGTTTTAGTTGGTTTACCCATAGTTATGAGTAGCTAAATCCTTTGTCTAAGGTTTTGATGGAACCTATTGGGGGATGAACTTCTGGTTTATGTGAATACAAATTGCTAGTTCCAATCTCTAATTGTTCAACTATGTGTTTGTTGTAGTTAATTGGCGGGATCCTCAATTAGCTGTGCCTATTTAGTGTGCATAACTTGGAATAGAGTGCATATTTAGGTAATTGTTGAACAACACCACTCCCAAAGTATATGAGGGATCAATAACCGAGGGTTTAAAGGCGGGATTAGGGATAATGAAGCCTTGAGCGTAATCTAAAGTGAATTATGTTAAATAAAGCAAGCTATTGTATCTCGGGAGAGTGCAACTAGTAAATTACTGTGATTACTCGGGAGAGATTTACGGTAAGAAGAGCGTTCATGATTAATAGAGATGTGTTGGTAAATTTGTATGAAGCATAAACAGAAGGAATTCCATCAATAGGGGAAATCATTACCTTAACACTTTCTCATTATTGTTTACAGCTTAGCATCTTTAATTTGTAGCTATTAGTTACTGTTGATCTTAGTTATTAAAAACACCATCAACTGCGATTCTCAACGTTTGGGAAATTGATTCTAAAGAGTTTAGTAGGTCTAAAGATAGTGATTGATAGGTTAATTCTCTGTGGATTCGACTCTGGGCACAATACTCAGGTTATATTTGCAACGTCCGCATTGTCCTTTTTATAAGTCATAGTTGGGCGTGATCAATATTTAATTGCAAACACAGTAATTAAGACGATATATTAGTTATGTGGAAATTCACAAATCATAAATTTTAAATCTTGCCTCTGCCTCTATGAATCAAAACTAAAGATGTATCATGTGGAAAGGGCATGCCCCGATAAAAAAAATAGTATTATGGTACTACAATTTTTCCTTCATATCTTCTAAAGGTGGATCTTTCAATAAGATAAGTGCACTATTACGAAAAGATGAATCTAAGCCGAAATTTAACAGGTGATCTTTAAGTTCATATCATTGAATCCCTTATCCTTTTGAAAATATTTGTTCAAAGTTATTATCATTTGAATATATATATATATATATATATATATATATATTATATTAAAAGTACGAAGGCCCTTAGAGAAATATCGTTCGACTTTTTTTTACCCTTTAAAAATAGATTTCACGTAGTTTTTGGTCTGTGAAGATGTGTTATTAGGTGCTCCATTTTATTTTCCCATTGAGGCCGAACCTAAACCCGTGCTCGAGAGACAGCTGTCCATACACTGATAAGGGATGTATAGATTCTGGAGAAGAGAGGAGACGAAAGTGTAATTTAAGTTTTTCCCAATTTTTTAGGAATTTAAATTAACTAAAACTTTAATACATATTAAATCCTTCCATGTTTTGAACTCCTATGCAATTAGTCCTAACATATAAGGGATCACACAAGAATGGAAACAAAATATTTCTGTGAGGAAAAGAAAACTTAGGAATCATCTTTGTATCCAAAGTCTAATAGAAAACGTATTGAACTTGTAGACGAATTCTATACTAAACGAATTGTCTATCATTTCTTTTTTTAATTATTTCAACAAATGATAATTTTCTATAGCAAAAACCCTTTGTTCACCCTTTAAAAACAACTTCAATAACATCACAAACCATTAACAAGAACTACTGATTGTTTCTTTCTTTGGTTTCACTAATTATATGTTTAACCAATTTTAGATAAATTGTCTCTAATTATTGGTTTATGACTGTCGTCTGGCGAGTGCTGTAAATCACAGTCCACGTCATCGATCCGTGTGAGAACAAAACAATTACCATCCGCCTAACTCCACCTTATCAACGGCCCACAATAAGTAATAAACAAACACGCGGATAGCAATCTCTAGCCGTCCATTTAAAAATTCCCCAAAAAATTCATTCCACCGCCATTACCTTCCCCCCCTTCTAAAATTCAAAACCCCTCAAAAAATTCCCCCTTTATATAAGTCCTCAGCTCATACCCCATTCTTCACCATCAATTCAATCTCAAAATCATTCTACATAAGAAGGCATAACAATGTCAGGCCGTGGAAAGGGAGGCAAGGGATTAGGAAAGGGAGGAGCAAAACGTCACCGTAAGGTATTACGTGACAATATTCAGGGAATTACAAAGCCTGCTATAAGGAGGCTAGCTAGAAGAGGTGGAGTGAAGAGAATTAGCGGATTGATTTACGAAGAGACACGTGGAGTTTTGAAGATCTTTCTAGAAAATGTGATTCGTGATGCTGTGACTTATACTGAACATGCTAGGAGAAAGACTGTTACTGCTATGGATGTTGTTTATGCCCTTAAGAGACAGGGTAGGACTCTTTATGGATTTGGTGGTTAAATTTCTGGATCTGGGTTTTTGTTTAGTTTACTTTTGTTGATGTAATTTACTGGGGTTTTAAATCTATGAAATATCTTGGTTCAGTTTCAATTTGTTTGTGAATGGTTTCGAATTTCTTAATTAATAGTTCGAGCAGCTCTTTCAAGATTTAGTCCTAATCCAGTTTGGAAGGATCAAGGCCTATTTTAACTTGCCGCGATTTGGACGTGTATAAGGGGAAATTAATTAGGGGAAGTACACAAATAGCCATTTTAGGGTTGTTATTTATGGATTAATCAGTGTTTACTCTCTCTTGGAAATTTGAACTAAAAATCTTTAACTTTAGGATTTTATGTCTTGAAAAATTAAAGTTAAGAATTAAATTTAGAATATTTTGGTTAATTTTTAAATTGCAGCTCTCTAGAATGGCTACTTGGTGTCATTTCTACAAAGTAATTGGTAGAAACTGTCTGAGGAAGACCATTAACAAAAAGATGAAGCAACAATTGTGCTGCAGCGTCTGTGTGATGAACATTATGTTTACTTGGGTTGCATAAATCTTCTATATTTGGCTAAATCTGAAATACTTTTGTAAATGCTGAATCTCTTAAACATCCCTAAAAGTGGCTATTTTTTGCAAATTGCCCTAAAAATTGCTCACTCTATTTAAACTGGTCTCAATCCAGAATTATATTAATTTCTCTAGCACAAAGAAGTCAGTTTTTAGCCAAAATTATCCCTTATCTTTAAGGGTAGGTTTAACTTAGTCCTTTAGATATGACTTTGAGCACCATTTGTACTCTAAGTTTCAAAACACAAGCGCTTTTAGTTTAAGGCCATGTCCAACCCTAACACCAAATTTCACACCAAAATGGTGTAACACTAAATTTACTCCAACCATTACATCATTTTTTACATCAAATCTTGTCTCTTCTATATTATATTATTATCTTCTATTTACTTTTCATTTTTTATTTCCTTCAAACTAATATTATCTTTTTTCTTTTTTCCATATTTATTATATATAACTCACATTCACCACTTATATAATCATTTATTACAAAATTATTTTAAAATATAAATCAACTAAAAGTGAAATCATTGATAAAAGATAATTAAATAAATATTACATCATAGTCAAATTTAATTTAAATACCACATATATACACAATATATGATAAATTAAAAGTCCAAAAAATAAAAAGATTGAATAAAATATTAATGAACCAAATTTGGAGTGATGAATTTGGTGCAACACTATTCATGCTCTATAAAAGTGCAAGAATTAGTGTTGCATTGGGGTAAAAAAACACCATTTCTTGCACCAAATTTAGATTTGGTGCAAAAAATGGTGCAGCCTTGAAGATGGTCCAAGTAACGGAAAATACTCACTTCTATTAGAAAACTAACGGACAGGCCCGCCTCTTTCACCCTCAAAATCAGTCCATTTTGTTTCCACCAGAAAACACAACTCTTTCATTGACCTAGGTTTAATTCCATGGATGAATCATTCGAGAACGAATTTAGCAAGACTAATCTAATCATACTCAACCTTAGATGGGAATTTGGGCGAAGCCTAGGGCGGCCTCTGCCTTCTTAACACGTGGCACACCAACTTGAATTCTGATTTGAAAATCTTTCTACATAAAAAAAATACATGTACAAAAACATAATGAAAATTCAAAGAGGCAAGAAGATATTCGATAATCATATATTAAAACTGGCATAAATGTAGGCATACTGGTATTGTTCATTCTCCATGTATTAAGATAGCCAGAGGCAAAAACATCCTTTGATACAATGAAAAACATAAAAGCATACTATCTTATAGTAACAAGTTTTTCCCTCAGTTGACACCAATAAAAAGCTCAATTCTTTCTAGAGATACCAAGCCTGCCACGGAAATCATCCTCCATAAGTGGAATACCATCGCGCAGTTTGATCGTTGGTTCCCATCCAAGTAGTTCTTTCGCCTTTGTGATGTCTGGCTTTCTCTGGCGAGGATCGTCTGGTGTATTTTCCACCGTGATAATTTGCACTTCTGGATTAATAAGCTGCAAAACAACAACAATAGTCCGCTTTAACACAAATGTTAACGTGTCAAGTGAGATATAGTCTAGTGCAAGCTCAGCAGATTATACCTCCTTCACGGTCTCAGCAAGTTCAAGCATTGTGAATTCACCTGATTGCAACAATATGAGTTGGTTATTTTTTAAGCTAATAAAATTAAATAAAATAAACAGAAAGCTAACCTGGATTTCCGATGTTAATTGGTCCAGTATTATCTCCCTCCATAAGCCGAATAAGACCATCAACCTTCATTATCCAGAAAGGAAGGTAAGCAAAAAAGAGAAGACAGAATATGAACTGTAAAAAAAGTGATCCACAGACTGTTGTATACCATGTCGGAAACATAACAAAAGCTGCGAGTTTGTGTTCCGGGCAGCTGAACAGTCAAGGGTTCATCACTGTAAAATTGCACAAAAAATAGGGTTCACAATGCTATTAAATACTTATCATACAGTAAGAGTGATAGATAGCGAGGTTAAGAAAACTACCGAATTGCCTGGGCAATGAAATTGCTGACAACACGACCATCATCTATATTCATTCGTGGACCATACGTGTTGAAGATTCGAGCAATTCGTATTTCTGTAATTCGGCCACCATTTCAGAGATGTAAAACAATCTTCAGCATGCAGAACTTTATAGAACAAAATCCAATAGATTTGAAGGAAAAGCAGTCATTCACAAACATATATACGTGTAGGAAGTGCTATACCTATTCCATGCTGCCTGTGATAATCAAACATCAAAGTCTCAGCCACTCTTTTCCCCTCGTCGTAACAACTCCTAACTCCTGAAATTAGCAAGCAACATTATTCAACAAATGCAACCAAAATTCGCTGCAATTCTTGTAAACTCAAAAAGAGGCCATTTATGAAAGAAGCAAGTCATCACTTGTTAGATATGTTCTCAGGCAAAAGAAAATACATACCGATTGGGTTGACGTTGCCCCAGTAGCTCTCATCTTGAGGGTGCACAAGTGGATCTCCATAAACCTCAGAAGTTGATGTCAGTAAAATCCTGTTTGCGCAATGACAGTTTAGATTTGAGGATTTACCCATAACAAAATATTAATTGATAACAGGAGCAGATTCAGACCTCGCGCCAACTCTCTTGGCAAGTCCCAACATGTTCAATGTACCAATTACATTTGTCTTAATTGTCTGCAGATATCATAAAACAAGTAAATTACCAGAGACATCTAAATCCAAAGGAACAGTATAACTAGTTTGAGAAAATACAGAAAATTTGCAATATTAGTGTCTTTATTACTGACCTTAACAGGATTGTATTTGTAAAAAATTGGAGAAGCAGGGCAAGCAAGATGGTAAATTTGGTCAACTTCAATCAATAATGGCTCAGTAACATCTGCATATCATATAAGGAGAAAACATAAGTTACAACAAACAAACCCAGTGTAATCCCACAAGTGAGATCTGGGGAGAGTAATGTGTACGCAGACCTTATCCCTACCTTATGAGGATAGAGACGCTGTTTCCGGAAAACAAAGATCTAGTAACATTATGTATACTTTACAGGAGAAAACATGGAAAAACGTTTTGTGAAGAGATATATTTTAGTAGAAGTTGATCATGACAGATCAAGAATTTGGAGATGTGATGAAAGGTAACAAAACCGCGAATATTGCATTACCATGCCGAATTAACTCAAATCTTGGATGACCAATCCATTGCTTTAGGTTATCCTTTGATCCAGTGAAGTAGTTATCCACAACAATCACCTAAGAATAACGCAATAAAATTGTGTAAACAGTCATATTAAAAACTTTATCATCTAACATAGCCTAAAAGTATATACCTCATTCTTCTCATTTTGCATAAGTCTGTCAACAAGGTGAGAGCCAATAAATCCAGCACCACCAGTCACCAAAATTCTCATGTTGGCCTGTAATCGGAAAGTTTACAGATAACAAACAGCATTAACACAAGAAATATCAAGATAAAAGCAGAAAATTGAAAGAATCATCAACGAGATAAAGTATATACCTGAAAAAATTTTGCTTTTCGCAACGGCGATGGTTCTGGTGGTGGTTTTGCAGAAGCATGGTTGTCTCCATTGGAAGCCATTTCTAGATCACTTCAATTTCTGAACCCAAAACCAAATCTAAAGTTCAAAACCAACAATTAAAGTAAGATTCAAGCAAACTATCGCAACTCTACAACATAACAACCACAATTACCACATAACCATTCCTAATAGAGTGATAACCATGACACAAAAACATAAAAATATCAAAAAGATAAATGTAACCATCTTTCCCATAGCCAATATATATGAATAATCAACTAAAACTCCCTTCATAAATTAGCTGGTGCCAGCTACATGAATCCTAATAACTCCTCATTATTCTTTTGTTTTTCCTCCTTCAACCACCGTGGCGTCCGAAACTCACTAGTCCGACTAATCCAGATTAACGCCACTAAAAGCCCGTCATAGGTATCATAGCTTTTTACCTAAGACGACTCCGTTTTCAGGCTCGAACGAGTAACCTCTGGTTAAAAAGGAGGAACCTTTAACATTCGGCCACAAACAAATCAATCATAATTTCTAACGGCATGAAAAGTTTTTTTTCAAATATTTTTGGCAGAAAATGAACAACACATTACGCACCAAAGGGCAACCCGGTGCACAAACATCCCGCGTTCAAGCAGGGTCCAGGGAAGGGCCGCACCCAAGGGGGTGTGATATATACAACCGACCCTAATGCAAGCAGTAGTAGCTGTTTCCATGACTTGAACACATTAAACACCGAAATCAAATTTCAACAGCAGCGGAAAGTTTTTTCTTTTCCAGAGAATTAACAAACCCAAATTAAATATTCATCAACAGAAGATAAAAAGCTAACAGCTTGATTTCATATATTCAGAAAAAAATACAATACAATTTGAATCACCTGATCGTCTACAATGGTAATGAAAACAGCCCCCAACAGAAACAATTGCAAAATATCAGCGGCTTTTGTTTAATTATCAGAGGCTCAATGCATGAATTTATAGAACAAATATCATATAGATTCAGACAAA